AAAAGAAAGCTACTTCGGATTTCATGTGCAGGTGCGAAGGATCCTCGCAATCCTCTTGGCGGACTAGTAGTTCCATTAAAGAGAGCTAAGAAGGCGTTTAAGAAAACTGCTTCTCATGGAAATTTCAAGGTAAATCACTAATCTAATCTATAATTCTACTGCAACCAGATACAAAGATTTTAAAAAGGTTTTTGGTGTTGGTCTATGGTTCGAGAGAGCAGTTCGTAGCAGAAGAAGGAGTTGGACACGAGTTGACGAGTTTTATGATCAAGGAATCATCAGATTGGTTTGACAAATTTCTTAAATAAGGAGACCATGACTTCTGATTAAAACTGCTGTAATGTCTGCATGTAACAATAATTGAACTGTAAAACAATAAATTCTCTTCATAAGATAAAACATATCTCCTTGTAACCTTACACATGTGAATTTTTAATACTGTTTTTTTCATTCTCCCAAATCATTTTCATTGTGAAATCAAAGACAAAGGAACTAATCAGTGAAAGAAATAAAAGCAAGAGGATCATCCTTTCTTAGGCATAGCAGCGAGGCGTGTATACATACGTGCCATTGAATTGAACCCTCTCACATCCCCAGATCTTAGAAGATTCCCTTTATTAGCAACCCCAACAAAAGAAGATTCACAAAGATCAAATCAGTTTTTAGTTAAACGCATTTGCATAGACCATAGTATAGTACTAAATAGAGCTAGTACCTGAGTCGCAGTTAAGAGGACTGTCCGGCTCAGGATGAGCCATCAATGCTATGATCGCTCTACACACTGACTGAAGCGTCCAAGCGGGGCTCCAAGCATTCTTCAATATGTCCAGGCATATTTCCCCTGTCTACAAAACACAAAATTAGGTATAAAAAAAATCTCTTTTACCGGAGATTAAAAAGCGCAACATTCAAAATCGTTTCTCATTACCTTGAAATGCACATTTGGATGGAATATTTTGGTCAAGAACCGTACTTGAGGAGGTTGAAGAGGATATGGTTCAGGAACAGCAAATGCAAGCTGAAACACACCGCCTTCATAAGGAGTCTCCGATGGCCCCTGCATCTCAAAAGCAAAGATCCAAGACCTGTTTCTAACAATCCAAAGCTTTCGCCTTTTTCGTTAAAATGAAGTTTGTGTGACAACAAACCTTGATAAGTGCAGTCCATTTGAATATGTTGGTATCATCACAGACCAATTGAATATCCGGATCAGCTACTTTCTCTCGCTGAACCTCTTTGTATTCCTTGAACAGTCTTGCTCGTGATTGCTATATACAAAAAAAAAAAAAACACATCGAATTCTATAAACCAGTATTGTCGATTCGATATCCAACACACACAAATTGGCAATAGAGATAATAGAAAACAAAAAAAAAAGTGAACTTTGATTAGCTAACCTGCATGTTTGATTGATGCTAGTGAGATACAATTTCGCAAGAACACGATCGCTAGCTGCAAAGTTACAACAAAGGATTTCGATTGATCCATAAATTTCAGTGTTTTCAACAAGAAATGAGAGGCTGATAAATCGATTTTTCAGCAAAACCCAACACACAATTCAACACAAGACCCATGAAATTGGGGGTTTCTACTTTGTAAAGATCAATTTCGAAGCAGAAATTAGATCCGGAAAGATTACGATTAGATTCCGCCTAATCTAGAGACAATTAGGTTTATCAATCTCTGTACTTTTGAGATCGACACAAACGAAATGGAGAAAAATTGAGGTCTAGAAACGAAGCGTATGAAGTTTGCGAAAATCATAATTGCCCTAAAAAACCAAAATTGACGAAGCTTTACCTGGAACTAT